CCACCCCCAAGAGAGTGTCTCACTCTGTATTATTCAAGGCGGGCTTGGGATTCACTGTATAGTCCAGGTTGACCTCAAACTCAACATCCTCCCACCTCTGCCTCCTAGGTGTTGAGACCACGTGATGTGCCACTATACACAGCTGACTTCTCTCCTTTACATCCATTTTCTAGACAGATGGGACTTGTTATAGTACCACATAAACTCCACAGTCTCTCACATTTGAAAGTCCCCTGCATGGAATACCCTGTTCCCTCATTTAGCTAATTCGTCATCCCATGCTATGTAAGACACTGGTGGGACAGCCACACTAACTCCAAGTGGAATGAAGATCTCCATGTCAATGATACTCAAAGTTTTCAGACTAGGGGCATCAGTGTGGCCTGGGAATTTACTGGAAATGCAAATTTGGGGGCTCTATCCCATACTTAGAGAACCTCCATCCCAGACCTACAAAGTCTCTTACTACCAGAGATTGGTAGTAAGGCCCTGAGCTCTGCTTTAACAAGCTCTCTAGGTAATTTTGATGTATTTTTCAGCTTGAAAAGCACTGCTCCATGTAACAAACTCTGCTTGTTGTTCTGCACATGAAGCACCTATCCTATATTTTTTAGTGTTTTTCTTTTAAATATAAGGGGAGAGGAATGTTTATTTCTGCTTAAAATGTAGAAAGCTGCAAAGTGCATCAATTGTTACAAGAACTGAATAAAAAGAGGTACAGGACACTCTAAGAAAAAAATAAAACAAAAACTCTTGTCTCTTGCAGAGCATGAGACAGGATGATGTACTGGCCACTACATAAGCAGGTAGGCAGTAAGCTAAATTTTTAAAGAGCTGACAAAAGTAAACATTAGCTAGTATTTTAGCCACAAGCCCCTGACACAAGGATAGGGTAGTTTGCCCTAATTGGTAAGCCACAGATCTCCAGAGGTACACACAACAAAGATTAAGGGCAAGACATGAGATTGAAGAGTTCCTGTTGGTCATGTGTGCATGCAGGAAATGAGGTGGTGACCATGAGGAGCACACACAGCCCTGTCCCTGTGGTTAAATTCTCCAGCCCATAGAACTAAAAGCGGATAATCAATGCTTACAAGTTGGGATACAGACAGATGCAAAGCCCTACCTACATTCCTGAACCTTTTCTTCTAAAAAAGAAAACCTATGCTACTGAAGAAGCAGCAAACTCTCTACCCTGCTCTCTAAGGAAGGGAGACAAGGGGTGTGTGTGTGTGTGTGTGTGTGTGTGCGTGCGCGCGTGCACACACTCTCACACATGCCACCTACAATAGGCCCTTGAAGCTATACTAATTGAAGCAGGGTTCCTTTTTTCTCCATCACGCTCCTTCAGTACTGGGAATTGAACCACTTCCCAGGCTGGTATGGTCCCACTGAGCTATACCCCTGGCCCTGATTTTTTTTCTCCTTTGTAGTACTGGGGGATCAAACCCCAGACCTTGAACCTGCTCAAAGCAAGCATTCTGTCACAGAGCTATACCCTTAGGCTTCCAAGCAGGTCACTTTCCATGACCTCAGGGATTACCTTTCATTTGAATGTAACAGAGTAAGACCTTCCAAAGTCTGCTTTGACTACAACTATAATTCTATAAATTCTAAAGTGAACTCTATCATACTAATTCTAGGTTCTAAAATCTTCAAGTATTTTGCAACAGTAAGGTAATATGACTCCGTAGCCTGGCACTAGTATACAGCTGTAATATAACTTTAAAATCTTCTCTTATGCCATTTTCTTACCTGTAAATTAGACTCTAGCTCAAACAGGACTGGCTGTTATTCCCTAAAAATATTATCCTTTACCAATTCCCAATCTTTGCTTAGGTTGTGAACATCAAAATAATGTAAAGAACATTAAAAGTCAAAAGGATAAAAACTTAAAGACTGTCTACAGAGAAGTTGCAAATATGCATAATAAGTTTCAGATCTTATCCTGTTTAAGAAAATCTTAGAATATAAGCCTACTTCACTAGTTATACATTTTAAAAATAATTTGCAGATGATTCAGAACAATAGTTCCAAAAGAAATGAGAGAATTATTAAAATAATTGATCATTCAGTAAAGAAACTGGTTAATAAGAATAACTTTCCTGCATATTAGAAATGATGACTAGGTGTCGTGGCACATGTCTGTAATCCTAGCACTTGGGAGGCCGAGGCAGGTGGATTGCTGTGAGTTCAAGGCCAGCCTGCACTACACAGGAAGACTGTCTCCTCCCATTCCCCCCACCCCCCAAAAAAAAGAAAGAAAAAGAAATGATCAGTGAGAAAATATGGGAAGAAGAAAACTTCATAGGATAACAAAAATATTAAAATATTTAGAAAGAGTGACATGCCATATTCACATGAAGAAAATAACAAAATATATTGAAAGACTTTTAAGAAGTAGAGACTGAGAATGACTCAAAAATAAAAAAATTGTTTCAATTTAATTTGAAAATGTGACATCAAGTACTACTCAGCCGTAAAGAATAAGAAACTAGCGATGTTAATAGCTAAATGGATGCACGTTGAGGCCATACTCAAGTGAGACAAGTAGGACACACTTGAGTAAATACTAAATAATTTCTCTGGTGTGAGAAACTAAAAGTGTAAATAAGGTTCAAACAGTGTAATTGATAATATGAAATAGGAAGAAAAGGGCTAATGGCGAAGTGAGAAGGGGAAGGGAAAGAAAAAATGTGAAAAAAGGAAGAAATGGAAACAAAGTATTTGTAAATAGGGAAGGGTGAAGGGGATGAAGGGAGGGCAGGGTTATGGGGAAAAAATAAGAACTAAAATATATCATGTAAAGGTACAAGATCCCAATGATCAATATAACTGAACTGTTTCCTTTAAATGTATGAATACACTTAACGGGGAAGAAAAATGTTACATCAAAGCTGGAGGTGGTAGTGCACATCCATAATCCCAGCATTAAGGAGGCTGAAGCAGGAGGCTGTTTTCTTTTTTTTGGCTTTCTGAAACAGGGTCCCGCTATGTAGCTCGGGCTGGCCTTGAACATAAACTTCCTGCTTCAGCCTCCAGAGTGCTGAGATTGCAGGCATGTGACACCATGCCTGCCTGAGGCAGGAGTTATTCTGAGTTCAAGACCAGCCTGGACTACACAGTGAGACTCAAAACAATCAAGCAAACAACAACAAAACACAAAAGCCACCACAAATGGACATATTTACCTATACAGAGGATGTTCACTATAACATGTGTAGTAATAAAGACACTTAAATGTTCAAAAAGAGAAATTATTTAAAAAATTATGATGTAACAGATAATACCATGCACCATTAATGACTACACATGAGAATAATAAGAACTATTACTATTTTGGGATATTACTGACTTTTAAAACTTATTAGTAAATGCTTGCAGCACATAATGATTACATTCATTATGGGGAGTTGGTACATGTACATAACACATCCTCTTTTTTAAATTCCCTTTCCCTCACCTCCCTCCCCACTCCCTCATCTCTTGGTCTTCTTCCCTTTTGCAAAAGATCTATTTCCCTACTTCCTCTTATCTATCTTTTACTTTGCTCTTTAATTATTTATACTTTGGGTTCCTCATATAACAAATCATGCCATACTGAATCTTATTGTGTCTAATTAAATCACTTAACATGGTCTCAGGGTGCATCCATTTTCCTGCAAAAGACTCAAGTTTATTCTTCTTTGTGGCACAGTAGTACTCCATTGTATAAAAATTCTACACTTTATCCATCTGTTGATGGACATATAGGCTGTTTCCAAGATTTATTTATTATGAATTGTGTTGCTATAAAAATGAGTATGCATATACTACTGTAATATGATGTCTTTAACTCTTTTGGAGAATTATTAACTTACAAGGTAAAGACAATCTATTAAATGGAAAAGTGCAGTAAGAAACCAATTATAAAAATAGGCACAGGTGATTACATGCAGGTATGTATCATATTATGTGTTTTCAAAGAAAAAAAAAAAGACTAGAAAGCAACAAACCCAAAATAATGATGTGTATTGCATTCTGGTGATAAGAATATGGGTAACCTAAAATTTCTTATTTGTACCTTTGTAAATGTTTCAAATTTATCTCCAATGACTTGTGTAACTTGCAATAGAAAATGTCATTATTATTTATGTGAAAGGTATACATTACTTACTTTAATAGCAATGTTAACAGAAACTTCCTGAATATTAGCAAGTGGTGGGTAAAGTCTCCCCTGGGCTAACTCTTCATTTGTCAATTGACTTGTCAGTGCCTGAAAAGAAAGCCAACATTTTACTTTTGTTTGTTTAAATAACAGAAGGATTTAGTAAAATGGAAAAGCACTGGGGAAACCGAAAAATACAGGTAACCAAATTCTTATTCTACTGTAGGCATTAAAACTGTTCAGTAACAACAAAGAAATAGCCAAGCTTAAAGACTTATTGATATATTTTATTTAATTCATACAAAGCTTGGCATAATTACATAGCTACTCAGAAAATAAACATCAGTGTTTTTTATTAATATTAGTTCTTGAGAACTTCTATTGCAAAGTCTGGAGCTCCAACAAACCAGCACTCCAAATAATACCAGTACGTGTTCACTAAAAATAGGGAAGGAGGGCCAGGGATTTAGCTCAGTGGCACCATGCCTGTCTTGCAAGCGCAAGGTCCTGAGGTCAATCACCAGTACCAAAAAAAGTATATATATGGAAGGAGTTATGTTTTATCTATGCTGTCATAATCCTACCTTCATATATACATATACACATATATACAACATGAAACTTAGTTTAAGGTATGATTCATAGCATATAATCAAACATTTAAAAAGTTATGATTTAAAAAAATCAATATAATGCAAAAGTAGACATGCAAATCAAAAAGTACTGAATGCGTAACTTCTGTTTCATTAATAAGACAGATTTAACCCATACTTTGTTTTTAAAACCTATCCATCTTTATAAAATAAATACTTAAAACATTTACCTTTGCAGCTTCAAGGAAAACATTGTCACTGATATGTCGGGTGTGACAGAGAATGACAGCTAAAGCCACACCTAGAATACATTTTAAATAGTTTATTTACTAAGGTGACTTTTAGGAACTGAATTCCTAATCTGAGGCTAATAAATGGTAATCAACCCCTATTCCAAACAGCCTCCTAAAAGAAAGCCAAAACCTGAGTTAAATCAAATAATCCTTATTAACTTATTCTCTAAAGAAACAATTTTAAAAATAAGTGGCTTTTCTTCCCATTTCTAACTGTCAGTAATCTTATTAGAATCTTATGCATTGTTGCAGAATATTCACACCAGGGAAACTATTTGGTATTTACACATGTGTGACTTATTTATTTCACTTAGGAGTATATCTTCACTATGTATCCATTTTCCTATGAATGAATCTATTCTCTCGCTCTTTATGGCTGAGTAATATTCCATTTTATAGAAAAACCACAACTTCTTTATCCAGTTTCCAACGGATGGGCAAATAGGTTGTTTCCAAGATTTAGCAATTACAAACTGTGCCGCTATAAACATGGGTGCACATACTTCTCTGTGATATGATTCTTTTAGTTCTCTTGGAAAGATACCCAGCAGAGGGATGGCTGGGTCAAATGGAATCTCCAGTCCAAGCTCTTTGAGAAATGGGAAGAAAGGCGCTAAAGGTGTAGGGAAGGTGTGATGCGTAGGGGAAGAACAAAAAAGGGAAAAGAAAAAAATGTGAGAGAATGAAAAGATGAAAATAAAGTGTTTGTAGATGGGGAGGGGAGGAGGGGGTGAAGGGAGGGCAGAGGTAAGGGGAAAAAATGAGAATCAAGACTTGCCATGTAAAGGTACATGATCCCAACAATGAATGTAACTGTACTGTATCCCTAAAATGTACCAATAAACTCAATAAAATTAAAAAAAAAAAAGAATTAAAAAAAAATAAGTGGCTTTTCTCAATTCAGCTTTTACATTTATCAAAAATACAAATGCACACAATTATCAGCTCTTGTTATAAAAAACATCAGACCTCTAACCCTCCACTTCTTACTCAAAAGGGGCAACTGCTTTCAATTATTTTAGCTGGTTATTTTAATATCTGTCACTTTTAACTCACTTATATTTCTTCTAATTTTTGTTTTAGCACTCACTGATTCCTTCTTGTGGGAAATAAGCACTTACTTATCTATTTCAGCCTTCTCTGTTCTTCCCAATACAGTATAGTTAGAACATAATTTGGTTCAATTAACATTCAGTGCTTATAATGACCTCATAAGTACTATTCATAACCGAACCATGCATTAATATTGTAATGTAATTACTTTTCTTCTACATAACTTTTTGTTTTCCGTTTTATTATCCATTTTTTCTCTTTAGAGTTTTTAAGTATTTAACATTACTTAATCCTAGAACATTCCCTCATTATCTAAATCTTCTTCCATTTTGGTACTTCATATATTCTCTAATTTTATCCTCTTTTTTTTTTTTTTTTTTTTTTTTGGTTTTTTGAGACAGGGTCTCACTATGTAGTTGAGACTGACCTGGAACTCACTATGTAGCCCAGGCTGGTCTCGAACTCACAGCGATCCTCCTGCCTCAGCCTCCTGAGTGCTGGGATTACAGGTGTGCACCACCATGCCTGGCACTAATTTTATCCTTTATTGTAAACCTCTGCCAAAGATCCTGTCTGGCCAGATTGTTCTCCATTTCAGATGTGGAGCTGTCATCCTGGAAATCCTGTTAACAGCATGGAGACTGCTATGGTTTATATCTAGATATTCCCTCAAAGCCTCACACACTTACAGGTGAGGCTTTTGGGAGGTGACTTGATCATGAGTGTGATATGGATTATGGTGTGTGACTGGATTAATCCACTGGTGGGTTTATTATGGGAGTGACGTTGGAAGGTGAAGCCTGGTGAGAAGAGGTGGGTCAATGGGAGTATGGCCTGGGTATGGCCTAGAAGTATGTCCCATGATCCCTTGCTGCTTCCTGCCTGTCATGCTGCCCTGTCATAGAGCCAGCTGACTATGGACTGAAACCTCTTGCAACTGTGAGCCAAAATAAATGTCTCCACCTTTAACTTGTAGGTATCAGGTATTTTGTCTCAGCAATGAGAAAGTAACTAAAACAGGGACTCTGCTTCTTTTTGAGTCCTTTCGCTTTTGGTACTGGGGATCGAACTCGGGTCCTTGTGCTTGTGAGACAGGAGGCAGAACCACTGAGCTACATCCCCAGCCCTCAGTCCTTTTCCTAAGTCCCAGTCTTCCTAGTTTTTTGTTAATTCTCTCTGGTGGGCAAATTTTCCTGTGGTTTTCTAAAAAACAGTACATGTAAAATATATTTTCTTGAAACCCTATATTTCTAACGTGTTTACATCTTTCTACTTGTGTGATAGTCTGTCTGTGTTTGGAATTCTACTCTGGAAATAATTTTCCCCCAGAATGCTGAGTACCATTCCAACACATCTTAGCTTGCAGTGCTGGTGACAGACAAGTGCAGTATCAATCTGATCCCATGCCCTTTTTTGGTGATTGTTTTATGTTTTACTTCAGACAGCAGGTGTAGGTTCTTTGTTTTTGTATCTGATATCCAGAAATTTCATGTGTCTTGAGGTACACTTTTATCCACCATGTTTGACATTTAGTAGTGAACCTTTCCTATTGGAAAATCTGAATCTTTCCCTTTTTAGAAATGTTTGTAAAGTCTTTGATGATAGTTTTCCTCCTATTTTTATTTTTTTGTCCTGAAATTTAAACAAAATTTTGTCTTATTTTAGAATGTAATAGTATTTGTCTCAATGACAATATTGATCATTTTGTTTTCTTTTATGAAATCAATCTTTCTTGTAAGAGACTTTCCTTAGATGACCAGTAATCTGAGCATTTTTTTTTGGGACAGTGTCTCACTCTGTAGTTCACGCTGGCCTTGACTTCACCATGTAGCCCAGGACAGCTTCAAACTTGCAGTGATCCTCCTGCTTCAGCCTATAGTACAGGAATTACAGGTATGCGCCACCATGCCCAGCAAGCATTTCTGACATTTAAGGTTATGAGGCATAAATAAATTAATAAATAAAAATTTAAAAAGGTTGTTAGCTATGAGCACAAGGGATCATCTACTCAGAGGATCATCGTAGAATGACCTGGCTTTCTTTCATCTTACTACTTCTGGCACCTCTGTATTCAAAGCTGTGTCTAGTACCTCATTGTCTAGACATTTTCTGTTCTATTTAAAGAGTATCCTACTATCACTGCCCAGAGATGAAAAGGGCGATCACTGGATTGCCAAGGTATTAGAACAGGATTACGTGAATCCAGCCTGCCTTTCCCTTCTTCCCCACCTCATTTGTTCATTTACTTATCTGTCTTTGTTATATATTTTAAGAAGGACATCAGCATTGGCCCATTTACATTTAATGTATGCACTTATATGTTTGGGACTCAATGGACTGTCTTTGGCCTATTCTATGTTCCTTTTTCTCTTTCTTGCATTTTGGGTTTTTAATAATTTCATTTTGAGCTGGGGATTTAGCTCAGTGGTTCTGTTGCCTGCCTCACAAGCACAAGGTCCAGAGTTCTAAGTACCAACCCCCACAAGAAAACACATAATAATTTCATTTTATCCCTTAATATTCATTTCAGGAATTGGAAGTTTTTCTAGTATTCTCATGATTACCCTGAAATCTATAGCATGTAACCTTTGCTTATCAGAACTCTACATTAATTTTTAACTTGTCTTCCTGGTAGACAACACAGTCTTTTTTTTTTGGTACCGGAGATCGAACTCAGCCCCTTGTGCTTGCAAGTCAGGCAGTGGAACCACTGAGCTAAATCCCCACAGTCTTTAATAATAGTTTAATTCTATTTAACTGAAAGCATTGTTGTGCATTTTGTCTCTGTATTTTTCAAAACACAACATCATTATTGTCTGGCTCTCAATAAACAACATCCCTTTTATTTTATCCACCTATTCACAACTTATTTTACTCTACATTCCTTCCTACATCCCTGAGTTTCTGACAATATTTTCTCTTTGCTTAAAGAATAAGATCTTTTCTCTCATACAAGTCTGTAGATGATAAATTCTGTTTTCTTAAGATGTGTTCATTTTACCATAATTTTTTTTTTTTTTTTTTGGTACTGAACTCAGGACCTTGTGCTTGCACCACTGAGCTAAATCCTGGCTCCTTGCCTTAATTCTTGAAAGACATTTCACTGTGTTAGGAATTCTAGGTTGGTGGGTATTTTCTGTAAGCAACATGCAGCATAAATAGATCATCTCACTGTTTTTTGGTACTTGTTGTTGTGGAGTCAGATGTCAGTCTAACAATTGCTCCTTTGAAAGCATTTTTTCTCTTTGTTGTGATTGTTTGGGGCCTTCAATGAGGTTCCTACGTATGTATTTTTTTTTTTTTTTTTGGTACTGGGGATTGAACTCGGGTCTTTGCGCTTGCAAGGCAGGCCACCGAATCGCTGAGCTAAATCCCCGGCCCGTATGTATTTCTTTTTATCAGTCCTGTATAGGTTTCAGTGAGCTCCTTGAATACTGGTTATCATTAATCATGTCTAAGAAATTATCATCCGTAAACCCTGCAAATGTTGTCTCTGCTTTATTCTTACTCTCATTTTCTTCTGGGACTTCAGTTAAAAAGGTATCAAGTAAAAGGATTGGGGATTTAGCTCAGTGGTTCCACTGCCTGCCTCACAAGTGCAAGGTCCTGAGTTCGATCCCCAGTATCAAAAGCAAAACAAAACAAAAGTATGTATCAAGTAAAGACACATCTCTTTTTTTCCTGTATTAGTCTTTTTATCTCTATGCTTCATTCTGTTTTTTGGGGGGGTACTGGGAATTGAACTTGGGTCCTTGTGCTTGCAAGGCAGGTGGCAGAACCACTGAGCTAAATCCCCACTATGTTTCATTCTCTATTATTTCTTCTGAAATATTTTCCAGGTGATTCTTTCAGTCTAATTTGCTACAAGACTCATTTAGTCTATTATTGATTTAGATTACCTTAATTTGCTGGGGATTTAGCTCAGTGGTTCTGGTGCCTGCCTCACAAGCACAAGGGCCCGAGTTTGATTCCCCAGTACCAAAAAAAAAAAAAAAAAAAAAAAAGATTACCTTAGTTTATATTTTATAATTCTAGAATTTACTAGTTTTTTGGCTGAAGGTTGTCTTTTTATTTCTGTAAGCATAATAAATAAATAAATATATTTATTTCATAGTGCTTATCTTACATACAGTTTTAGGATGTCTTTTTCTGGCAGTTTCTGCTGACTTTGGCTTGTGTTGTCATGTGTCTTTATGTGTCTCATCATTATCAGGGAGTATGGAGCTACATGTCCAGCCCTCTTTGAGACAGGGTCTTGCTAAGTTGTTGAGGGCTGACCTCAAACTTGTGATCCTCTTCCCTCAGTCTCTCAAGTAGCTGGGATTACAGGTGTGTGCCACCACACCTGGCCTCTTATTTTCTATTATTATTACTTTTAAAAAAGGGGTTGCAGGGCTGGGGATTTAGCTCAGAGGTTTGGTGGCCTGCCTTGCAAGCGCAAGGACCTGAGATCAATCCCTGGTACCAAAAAAAAAAGGGGGGGGGGGTTGTATTTGCAAATTTCTTTATAATAATAATAATTTGAAGACTAAGTATTACTTCAGAGAAGATTTTGTTTGCTTCTGTCAGGCACATAGTCCAGAACAAAAGCTTAAGGTTTCCAGGATCATCTACTGCTGCTGTAAACCACACTTTCATTCCACTGTATAGTCCCTCAGGGTGGGAGTTACTAACTAGGTTCCTTTTCAAATCCTGGCTCCACTCAGCTCTTGTTCTCTTCCCAATCTTGATCCAGAATTTTGCAGTATTTTTTAGCCCTCTGATCTTTTACAGGTTGTTTGCTTTGTTTCAAAATTCCATCCAGCTGTTATAGTAGCTGGACGGGTAATTCCAACATATCAGGGTGTTAGGTTTTTAATGCTTTATGTACATCCAATCATCCTGTTTGTAGGTCCATTTTTACTTCTAGTGCCAGATAATTTTTCATGTTGGTATTTAGAGTGTAACTTTTATTAACAAAATTATGACTGTAAAATACTACAAAAAAGTAATCAACTGTTAAATTCCTTAATATAAAAATATGACTTTAAAAATGGCTTTACTGGGGCCAGGGATATAACTCAGTGGCACCTCACCTGCCTGACAAGCACAAGATCCTGAGTTTGATCCTTACTACCGGAAAAAAAAAAAAAAAAAAAAAAAAAAAAAAAAAGAAAAATGAAAAATGGCTTTATTAGTATTAACAAAGAAATATTTTCTTCCATGCGCTCATGCCTTTATGCCACAGAAATACTACTTGATAGAAAAGGTTAAGTTTGAATATTGCCAAATTCTAGAAAGAAATTATCAACGATAGGAAAGTTTCTACTATAAATACTAAGACACAAGAGACAAATACTACTACACAGGGGAAAAGAAGAACATAATATGCAAACCCCTAGGCTATTCACAAGTTAAATACCTTCTTTAATTTGACAACAGGAGTAAAATGCATTCTGATGTTGACCTATATATACTGTGTATGTACTGGGCATATCTTAACTAGAGCCTTCTGGTAACTATTCAGTGAAAGACCCATAAAGAAAACCAAAACATGAATGCAAAGGAATTCATGCAAAATCCCTATTTTACTCAATATAATCTTTCCTTAAAATAAATGGACAACCACTAGAAATTTGTTAAAACACACACACACACACACACACACACACAACAAAAAAGCCACTCTAAGGAAGACATAGTTCCAGAAAGCAGCTATTAAAAAAAAAAAAAAAAGTCTAGATTAAGAAAAAGATATTGTGAATTAAAAAAAAAAAACTGTTGCACAGACTGAATTAACATACTTTTTCAGAATCTCCAGTATTATAGTTTCATTTTTAAAATTCAGAAGCCAAGTGTGGTGGCACATGCCTCCTGGAATTCTAGGAGGCTGAGGCAGGATGGCAAATTTCCGCCCAGCGTGGACCAGTGAGACTGTCTCTAAAACATTTAAAAAGGGCTGGGGAAGGTCTTGACTTCAATCCCCACTACTACTAAACTAACTAACTTAATTTTTCAGATATATAATGAAGTAGTTATGAATGGAATAGTAAGATGTTACTGATTTGCTTTAAAAAGACTTGAGATAAACCATCCACTGTAAACTGGGTGTGGTAGCACATACCTGTAATCCAGCATTTGAAAGGCTGAGGCAGGAGGATTGTTGCGAGTTTGCAGCCAGCCTAGATTACACAGTAAGTTCAACCCCAAACTGAACTACATAATGAGACTGTCTCAAAAAAACCAAAACAAAAAACAATTATAAAAAAACCAAATGCAGATGCCAAAAAACAGACTTAAATACCAGAGAAGCTTTCCATCTTGCAGAATAAAAAAGGCAGATGTAGGGCCAGGGATTTAGCTCAGTGGTTCCACTGCCTGCCTCGCAAGCACAAGGACCTGAGTTCAATCCCTGGTACCAAAAACAAACAACAAAAAAAACAACAACAAACAAACAAAAAGAAAAAGCAGATGTGAAAATGTGAAATAAAATTAAAAAGATAGCACAAGGATTAAAAAGACTGAAAAGATGTTTTTAGTGTGAAATGGCTCATTCATAGGCATGCATGATAAAGGCAAACAAATTCAAACCTAGATGCATCTTATTAATCTTTCAGAAATCTAGGGAGAAATGAATATTAAAGACAGAATATAACTAGTTTGTAAAGGAATGAACCTCCCTGAATATAGATTTCCTGCCTGAAACAATGACTTCAATTAAAAGAGAAGTCTTCAAAAATCTAATAATGAATTTGACTTTAAAAATCTTTACCCAGCAAAACTATCAAGTGAGAGGACAAAATAAAGACATTTATAGAGATGTAAGAACTCGGGAATTTGTCATACATTCTTCCTGTTGTTGTTTTGTTTTGTTTTGTTTGAGACAGGGTTTCACTATGTAGTTGAGACTGAACTAGAACTCACTATGTAGCCCAGGCTGGTTTCAAACTCACAGCGATCCTCCTGCCTCAGCCTCCGGAGTGCTGTCATAGATTCTTTATGGCCAAAACCAAACCAAACCAAAACAAAAAACCCCAACAACAGCAAACCCAACTTATTCAAAAATATATCCCCAAAACGAGAGAGAGAGAGACAGAGAGAAAGAGAGAGAGAGAGAGAGAGAGCAAGCGAGTGCAAAATAGTGCACTTCTATAGGAGAGAGAAGCTGGAAAACAAGATAACTTGCTACAGTGTGAGGTCAAGAAAAAATGAAGAATACTGGCATCCTAGAAATTAAAGGGGCATTCACAATATGTGAAAAATTTTATGTTTCAAACATTCAGTGAGGAGGAGGGGGTGAAGCGGGGGCAGGGACAAGGGGGAAAAATGAGAACCAAGACCTGTCATGTAAAGGTACAAGATCCCAATGATGAATGTAACTGTATTGCATACCTAAAATGTACCAATAAACTCAATGAGAAAAAAAAAAATGACAAAAATTCAGTGATACAGAGCTACAAAATCTAGCATATTTATCAATCACATTCTAGCTGAATAACATTTACATAATATGGATTTTTCTAAGGGTTTTGAATATTAAGAATCAATTCCCAGACAAAAGCATGGAAGACATCTAAACACAATATAAATATCAAAAAATTCTCTTCAATGTAGAAATATTAACTCACCAAAACTGAAAGGTAGAGTAAGAAAGCAAAGCCTGAAATACTTTTCATTTTTCCTTTGACAAGTTAATAAAAAGTTTTAAAATGCTGATAAAAGCTCTTTATGTTACTTACGTACTAAATATATACATACTAGAGTACTGAATAGTATATATATGTGTGTACTAAAGTACTGAGAACTAAAAGTAGTAAGACAAATTGAGTGGGAGAGGGAGGAAGATATCAGAAGGCATGTGTGCACAATGACAACATTTCATAGTGGGAGATTCACATCCATGGCTGAACTAGAAGAAACACAACAAAAGAATATACTGGGCATGATAGTAATCACCATAAAAAGAACAAACCATGTATCTGAGTAGTATCCTAAGAAGGTACCAAAGGGAGGTACAGGGAGCTAAACAGTTTACCATCTTGTTCTTCTGCATTTTTATGAACTGTGTACTATAGTTCTACAAGAAAACAAGTTTAACTGATAGCATGAATAAACGTTCAGGGAAAATACAGCAAGTTGTATTTGCTGAATTCCTTGAGTTTCCTGGTACATTCATAGCAAAATTCTGTAAATAATGTTGACTCATTTTAACCTTAAATTCCAAAGGATTCTACGAAATATTTTAAAGTAATTAACTCTTGCTCTATAACATAAGTATGGTGACACTTACCTGGAAAAATATATACATTGTTTCCTTGACCTGGTGTGAAGACTCTCCCGTCTTGGAGTTTCACTGACCCAAATGGACTGCCACTGGCAAACAAACACCTTCCCTATCAAATGAAATCATTTTAATTTTGTTACTTTATGAAGATGAAGTAACTAAAGTAAATTTACACCAAATTAGGTCCTACACTAAATCGGACCAATATACTACCTGCTAACAATCCAGCATTCACTACATAACATAATCCTTTTATAAAAATCTCTTTATTTGAGTGAGGCTTGGTTTATACATAGTATACTTTAAAATAAAGCTGAAAATGTTCATTATAAGCTATAAAAATCCTGATTCTTCTACTTCCTTTATAAAATAAAGACCAATAAATATAATCCCAAATACAAAAGTCTAATGTAAATACCTGTGAATGAAGGAGTATTAATATGCTATCATTTTCTTGTACATTTGTTATTTGGGCTCTGTAACAAATGCTTTATATATATTAACTCAGTTAATTTAGCTCTCATGAAAACATTTGGAAGTTATCATTATCTTTACTTCACTATTTTACAAAAAGTCAGAAAGTAAGGTTTTTATATTTTGAAGTACTTTTCCTCTATCAGTAACAGGGTTGAACCCAGGGCCTACACACTGACTACATTTCTCAGCCCCTTTGTTTTATTTTTTATTTTGAGATAGTCTCACTAAATTGCCCAAACTGGAGTCAAACTTGCAACCCTCCAGTTCAGCCTCCCAGAGTGCTGGAATTACAGGCATGTGTCTCCACCTCTGGCTTTCAAGTCCTTTAACAAAATTTTATACAAATTTTTATAACTCCAAAGCCCATATTCTGCCTATTATGCTACAATATCCCCTAGCAGGCAGCTTATAAAACAGACATATAATCATACTTATGTTCCAGAAAAACCTAGCATACTGCTGCCTTGTTAAAGAAAAGTCTCCATTTTTTTTTCAGTCATCTAGTTGCAGTACAATGCTATATAATGGCATGTAATAAATGTTATTGGCTTCTTCACTATTTCTAGGAGAACCAGATGCTCATGCAATTAAAAAGCACTGAAATTCAATTTATAAAACAAAATAATTTATATAGCATCCCCCCATTCCCTCCTTCCAAAAAAGACAAGAAAACAGTAGTACAAAAAATCACCTGTTTTGGATTACTAGAAGAATAACTAAAAGAAGTCATGTTATATAGCCAAATGGGCTAGATTACAGAACAGTTTACAGAAAACTGAAATATCTCCAACACAGTAGGATGGACAAACTACCACAACACCTGAACACTGAACACAACTGGCAAGTCCATCTACTTCAGGTCATCTTCATTTCCCCCAACAATCACTATAGAGCTTAAACACAGCTAGATCTTAATGGTAATAACATTCTCATTGTGAAGTCCAAGCTAGCCTCTTTGAACAATTTGCCATTAAAATGTGGAGACTTTTTAAAAGATAAATACTTTTCTCACTGTGAAGCAGAGGATGTAAGAGTAACATGAAAACATCTCTCCACTGAAAAGACACAACTAATTTAAGGGGTGATGACAAAAATTTATGCCATTATTCTATGTAATACTAAGAAGGAATTCATTTAAACTATGAGTCAATCTTTCTTACTCTATGTGAGAGCATGACTTCAAAGTTAGCAAAAATTGTGAAAAAATTTGTATCTCAAAACTGATGAAATACAGTTTATCAAAATAGTCTCCTTGAGGAGTTCTTATTCATTCCGATAATGTATATTTACTTCAATATTAATTCAAAAAAATAAAATTCTTGGCCAGGTGTAGTGGTGCATGCCTATAATCCCAACACTCTGAGAGGCTAATGCAGGAAAACTGTAAGTTCAAGCCATGTCTGGGCAACTGAGCAAAACCTTGTCTCAAAAATAAAAAAGATCTGGGGGCTGGGGATTTAGCTCAGTGGCCCTGCCGCCTGCCTCCCAAGTGCAAGGTCCCAAGTTCAATCCCCGGTACCAAAAAATTAAAAATAAAAAAGACCTCGGGATGTAGCTCAGTATGAAGTCCCTAGGTTGAACCCCCCATACCATAAGAACAACAACAACAACAAAAAACACCCACACTTAAATGTTGGAGGAGTCACACATACTACTGCTGCTCAAAAAATCCAAATTTTTTATATTTTGGGCATGCTAAATCCTATGATACATTGAATATATGTAGCAAATAGTCACTGGGTAAAGTTAAAGTTTAATTTCTGTGGCAACAGCCATTAGTTTTAGATAAAGCCTAGTGGAAATAATAAGCAATTAAGTTAAAAGTAATACCATATGTTAATAAAAAGTACACTAATGAGGTTGACTTTTAAAATATTTTTATGCTGATTTATTTTAACAGAGGATTTTAATAATTATAGGTTTCAATAATTTTTATATCTATCGGAAACCAATAGTCAGAGCATTTATTATGACTACGAAAACAGTGATACAAAGGAGTTGAAAGAACAAAGTTTTCTCCACAATTCTGGTCACAAAGCGAACTGAACAAGAAATTCATCAAATTTCCCCATAAGGTCAATATTGAACCTAGCCACTTAATTTGATTCAATTCTCTTCCAATTTGGTTTGTGATCAGAATTGAGCCTGTGAAACAAGGTACCACTGTATATGTCAACAAAGACCTCTGACAATGAGGGGGAAAACCAAAATGTATGAAGGGTAGGAATATTAAGTACAGAAAGTTTCTGAGAGAACTGTGCTTTAGTAATGATCTTCTAGGTCGTTTCATACCAATTTGCTTTCTGGTTAGAGTAAGGAATACCAGATAAAACAAATCTTAAAAACATTTTTACAGAAGCCAAGCGCTACCAAGATAGTGAGTCTGGTGTTGAGAGGTAGCAGGAGGAATGTTCTCAAGGCCCAAAAGAAGATGAAAACAAGACACGTAAGCCCAGCATTTGATGGTTTTCCCTTCAAAGTGACTGCTGATTTCAAAGGCAAAAATTGGGAACTGAGACCATGAGAAATAAAGCTACCACGAGAGAGTCTCATCATGACAGAAAAGTTAAGGGACCACTGAAGACGAAGGCCGCCAGTAAATCCCTCAGGGTTTCTGGTTCATACTCAGGGGAGTGCACATTAGGAGATGGCACAAACCGTAAGCAGAATATGCCTTGCCTGAACTGCATTCTGACTGGATCATGATGAGCTGTTCTACCCTAGCAACCTCTAGAGAAGGGAAGCCCTCTGGAGGAAGACAACTTCACCTAGAGCTTCAAATTATTGTCACCATCCTTCATCCATACAATCCAACACTCGGTAAAACAGCAAAAACTAGGCTCACAAAAGGATAACATTTAATACAAAAAGAAAAAAAATGAACTAAGAGTGACATTTATTAAAATTAGAACCTTTATAATTCATATTTTCAAGAAATTAGAAGAAATGTCAAAAGAAAATTTCATCAGAGCTGTAAACTATAAAAAATGGTCAAATAAGTTTTTAAAAACTTTAAAAAATTGTGTTATGAAGAGTATTCTAATAATATATTTAAAAGAATCTTTCTAGCTTCTGAGATACTATATTTATAACTGATACCTAAGATCTTCAAAATGATTTAGGATCATACAAAGAAAGAACAAGATTAGCAATAAGCTTATTTTTGCTCAGTTTTGTTTTTGTTTTTTTTTGGTACTGGGGATTGAACTTGGGTCTTTGCGCTTGCAAGGCAGGCCACTGAACCACTGAGCTAAATCTCTGGCCCCAACAAGCTTATTTTTGAAACTAGGTATTAATGTAATCAACTTCTCTATACATTTGAAATTTTTCATAACACTTTTTCTTTGAGACAATGTGTCAATATTTTGTCCAGGCTGGTGTGATCTCCTCACTATATGACACCATGCCTAGGTTAAAACATTTAAAAAAAATTTTTTATTGTTCTTATATCTTTGAAATACGTAATTATATTTGTCCTGGGGAACTGGTACATATATATATACCCTTTTAAAAAAATGGGGTGGAGACAAAAACTTTATCACAGATTACTTTATTCTCAAGGGTATAAGCTAAAAATTATAACTGCTGGATATAACTATGAATGTGCTTTTAAAAATCATTTTCTAGATACAGTAGAATAGATAATTTAGGGAATTATTTGAACTTCTCCCTACTTCCTAATTATCTACCCTCTATTTTGCTCTTTGTGTATATAAATATATATTGACTTTTTCATATAAGAGAAAGCTCATGTGATATTTAAGCTTGTGTGCCTACTTATTTTACTTACCATTATGTTCTCAAGTTGTATCCACTTACCTATGAAATGCTAATACATTTCACTGTATGACTAGTTTCTCTTAGTTCACTGAAAATAAAGTTTTGTGCTATTATCTTTCTTTGAAGCAAGTCTTTTCTGCCTTTGAGTAACTACTTTGAAGATAATTATACATAGTGTATTAACTGTTGTTATTCTCTTGCTTTACTTTTTCATAAAATAAAAAATAAAAAATGTACCTTTAATAAATAATACAAAATTACTTTCTAGGGAATTAGAGATTGTTATGGTTTTCATCTAGGTGTCTCCCAAGAGTGTCATATGCTCATACATAGGGCTTTTGTAAGAAAACTGAATCATAGGGATGCTATATATATAGCTGACTTGCTGTTAGGAGGTGGCTGTGGTCAGAGGAGGCTGGAGTATAATCTGGAAGGGCGTTTCTCCCTCTCTAGCTCCTCTCTTCTCTATCTCTGCTTTCTGGTCACCATAACACACACAGCTTTTCTCCCCCAGGCTTTTCTACTATGCCTTCTTGCCTTGAAGTCAGCCAACAATGCACTAAAAATGTTAGCCAAAATAAACTTCTCCTCCTCTAGTTCTGAAGGTCAGGAATTTTGTGCTAGCAATGAGAAAGTGACTAAGACAGGGATGCAGCTCAGTGGTAGATCTCCTTTTTCCTAAGCCTGCAGGCCCTGTGGTTGGTCCCAAACGCTGCAAACAAATTCTTAGAGCTACTTACATATCAAGAAATTATAAGAATGCAGAAAGTGATCACACAGTGGAGATTAGAAGTATATCCCTAGAAAACACTAAGGGAAAAAAAAACTCTAATGATAGACAAGCAGGCACTTGTAATTGGAGTATAATCTAGCAACAGGGTTAAAGAATCTGAAAACAACCAAATCTCAATCTACATGAAAGTAAAATTTTGTTGCAGACAGCAGTTAAAACAAGGAATATGGCCAAAGCAGAGATATTAAGACAACATAACTCAAAAGAGAAAAGAAAAGAAAAGAGAAAAAGAAAAAGCAAAGCAAAGCAAAAGCACTTGGTTGTTTCATAAGAAATGAAAGACAGTAGAATTTACAGAGTAGTTATTTCTATATTATGTAATTTAAGTATCATTAAATTAATAACTTATTAAAAGACTCAAAATTAAATTCTACAAATTAAAATTATACAAGAACTAAAATTAAGAACTTAACAAATAAGCACAGTTGGAAAGAGAATGTGCAAAGTTGAACAGCCAAAGAAAATCATCAGATTGAAAGACAGCAAACAGGATGATATATACAGAAAACAGTACAAGAGAGTCAAGATGTTAAAACAAAAAAGTCTGACCATGCAAACAGGAGTCCTACAAGGAATATGGCCAAAGCAGAGATATTAAGACAACATTTTTCCAAAAGAGAGAAAAAATTAAACAAAAAACCAGACATCAAGCCTCAGGTACACTGTAATCTCCAGGTGGAATAAGATCTAAGAAAATCATATGCAGGTCTACTGCAGGGGATTTAGCTCACAGACACTGTACCTGCCTTGCAAGCACAAGGTCCTGAGTTTGATCCCCAATACTGAAAAAAAAAAAAGCTGCTCAAAACCTATCACGCAGCCAGGCATGGTGGTGCACATCTATAATCCCAGTGTTCAAGAGAATGAAGCAAGAGGATCAGAGAGTTTGAGACCAACCTGGACTACATAGTGAGTCAAGGCCAGTCTGAATTACACAGCAAGAGACTCTTTAAAAATAAAACAAGACAAAACAAAACCCCTAATACGTGAGGTTATCAAAAGGAAAACAGGTCAGAAAACAATAAAATAGTATCTTCAAAGTATTGAAATAATGTATCTACCAACTTTTATTTCTATGCAGAGTGAAAATATCCTTAAAAGTGAAGGCAAAATAAAGATATTAACAAGTGAATGTATCAGGCCCACATTCAAGAAACAAGAGTTAGTTCTTCTGGAAGGAGGAAAATTATTTTGTGTAGAAGCAGAGTAATGCAGGAAGGAATGAAGGAGTGGAGATAGAAAAAATTAAAATGTAGGTAAATCTGAGTGAATAATAATGTTTTTCATTTAAAGTTTACACTTGATCTTAGCCAAAAGGCCGAGAAACTATTTGGTTTAAAGTTTAGAGAAACAACAGTGTAAGAAGCATGATGGCATTAAAAAGGAGTTATAAGGTAACTGCTTTCCAGAACTGATTTAAGTAATTTACACAAGACTGTGATGTGTCCCATGGATGCACGCTCTAATCTCTAGTAAAAATACTAAAAGAATTGTGCAGGAATGTTTAAGCCTGGGATGGTGGCACATGCCTATTCATTCCAGCACACAGGAGGCGGGGTGCAGTGGTTCTCAAGTTCAAGGCCAGCCTAGGCTACATAGCAAATTCAAAGTCAGCCTGGATTACATAGTCAGACCCTGTCATAAAACAAACTACCACACACACAACAAAAGAAAAAACAAAAAAGAATGCATAATGAGCAGAGTGAAAACAAACAGAACCAATTCATATATTACTGATTAATACCTCTGTAAGTGTGTATGCTTCTTCAGGCGTGCACTCAGCCTTTGCCGTTGGATTACTTAATGCAAATATTATAGGCCTTTCATTGATACTGGCCATGGATTTGATTACCTCAGGAGTAAAAAGTCGGCCAGCACCTGCAACTCCTGCAATAATACAAGAGGGGGAAAAAAAGCAACTTCAGCACAGGTATAATAAAGTAATTCTTATCAACAGCATTTCTACAGTAACATAAAAAAACTACCATTACAAAACTACAGGTCATATCTCATTACCAAGACAGAATCTGCACTTCTGAGAGAATGCTGTGGGAACACAATCTCAGTTGTAAAAAGTAAAACTAATAAAAGGCTGAAATTTTCACTTAAATATTTATTGTTTATTACACATAGTAAATAACAGAAAATTAAAAAAATAGGATACCACCATTCTGAGATAAAATTTGCTACAACATGAGTGAATCTTCAGGACACTGAACAGGTAAAACACACCAGTGACAGGCAAATAATGCATGACCATTTATATGAAGCACCTAGAATAGTCAGATTCATAAAGCTATAAAGTAGAATGTGGTTGCTAAGGGCAGGGAAATGTGTAATTACTATTTCATGGGTACAGAGTTTCACAAGATAAAGAGAGTTCTGAAGACTGGTTTCAAGACAATGGAAATGTACTTAAAGATACTGAACAATACACTTTAAATTGTCAGAATGGCAAACTTAAAAACTTAAAAAAACTTGAAACTTAAACTAAAACTAAAAAACTTAAAAGAAAAAATGAAATGTTAATTTGTTAAAACATGGCACTTATTGGGCTGGGGATTTAGCTCAGTGGTTCTGCCACCTGCCTTCTAAGTGCAAGGTCCCGAGTTCAATCTCTTGAACCAAAAAAAAAAAAACCCAAAAAACAAAAAAAAACAAAACACAAAAACAAAGACAAAGACAAAAACAAAAACCCCCAAACCAAAAAAACAAAACACAACAAAAAACCCAAAAAACAAACAAACATGATACTTATTACAAAATTATAGGAATTCTAAACCATTTTGGCTAAAATAACTTTTTGATACAAGTGAGCTCATCTATGTTGTTATTAAGCCCCAGACACTATATTAGGTCATTATGATATAAAAATGAGTATAATGCAGGCATGTTATAGTTGAGAAAGAAATAAACAGAAAATCATAAAGCCTTCAGCAGGTGCTATAAAAGAACCACGCGGGGCTGTGGAAGCACAGAATGACAAGGGACACGAGGCAACGGCAGGGATTTGGAGACAGAGGTGATGCCTTAGCTGAAAACCCACCATTGCAACATTTTTTTGTTTGTTTCTTTGCCCCTCTGTAGGTAGGCAGAATCAATGGATAGATTCTTAGGTTTCTGTATGTAGTTTTTTTTTTCAGCCTTAATTGAGTTTATTGGTACATTTTAGGGATACAGTACAGTTACATTCATTGTTGGGATCTTGTACCTCTACATGACAGGTCTTGGTTCTCATTTTTTCCCCTTGTCCCTGCCCTCCCTTTACCCCATCTACAAACACTTTATTTTCATCTTTTCATTATCTCACATTTTTTTCTTTTCCCTTATTACCCTTCCCCTACCCATTCCACCTTCCCTACACCTTTAGCTCCTTTCTTCACATTTCACAATGTCAGTAATCTCATTAGGATCTTATGTACTATTACAGTTTATTCATACCAGAGAAACTATGTGGTATTTACACATGTTGTATGCAGTTCTTAGAGGAATGGACTAGAGAACTTTTAAGATTTCTTCTTACTATAAAATGCAGAAATTAGAATTGTAGAAATTTAAAACAAGCCTATTTTGCTTGGCCATAGGAACTGTTTGTGACTGCTTTATTATTTAACATTCTATGAGCTCCTACATATAATTAAAGTTATAAGCAAGACTGTACATTCAAACTTGCAGCTACCTAGGAAATCAAACTGCTCCTCTTTTAAAGACATTCTTTGCTGAGAACTCAGTGCTATGTTGGCACAGTCTCATATCAACTACGCTATAAAAAACACACAAAGTTTTCAGCTTTGTTACCAATGAAAATCTGATGACACGGTTTTTCCTGGTATGGACTGTCAAATTACCTTGGCCTTTTTAAGATTCTGAGCCCAACAGTCATAACAATGCTAAAAGTAAAGTGCGATAAAGGGCTAAGCATGCATCCTACTCAAAAGGCTGGGTAGGAGGATCACTTGAGATAAAGAATTTGGGACCAGCATGGGTAACACAGTGAGGTTTTATTAAAAAAAAAAAAAAAGGAAGGAGGAAAGTATCCTTTGGGAGAGGAGGAAGAAAGAAAAGATAAAAGCAAAGCATGAACCATGACCAGCTGCATAGCTTCCAGCATTTAAGAGTAAAAGTATAATTTTTAACTGAATTTCCATGCATGGTAACTAAAAAGCTATCACAGAAACATTAGTCAACCTCTACATCCATAGGGTTCTGCATATGTGGATACAATCAACTGCATACTAATATATGGGAAAAAATTGCATCTAGCTGACACAGTGGTGCAAATCTGTAATCAATCACAGCTACACAGAATTCTGAGGCAGGAGGATCATGAGTTTGAGTCCAGCCTAGGCAACTTAGTGAGACCCTATCTCAAAAACACACTGAAACAGAAAAGCAAAGCAAAAAAATCATCTGTATTAAACATGTGTAGACATTTTTTTGTCATTATTCTTTAAACAATAAATTATAACAACTATTTAGATAGCATTTATATTGCATTGGCTATTGTTACCTAATTAGAGATTATTTAAAATACAGTACATAGAGATGGAGTGATTGCAGAGGGAGGAATGGAAGAAGAGAAGAGGGAAAGGAGAATAATAAGAACTAAAATATGAATATGTGCCTACTCTCCACAATCAATGTAATCATTATGTACTACAAACATGTACTAATAAACATTTTTTTAAAGCCTATATAAAACTACTAAAAATATACAGGAGAATGTGCACAAACAATACGCAAATACTAAAATATTTAATATAAGGGAGTTAAATATTGCAGATATTGGTGTCTATGGTGCATCCTGTAACCAGTCCTCCATGATAATGAGGGACAACTATAAATTTTAAAAGCTAAGTAATATATGTCAATTCATTTTTAGTAACCCTACATTACATGGTGATTATGACTGGCAACATACAGTTAAGTAACAATTATTTATCAACAGTTTTACTTACCAATTATAGCTGAAGGTTTAAGAATATTGACTGCATCTTCGAAAGTATTAGGTATGCTCTCTGGGGCTGAGTGTACAAATGGTTCCTGATGACTATCTATTTTAGCATCCCGACCCTGATATTTTAAATAAAATACAGTATTTTTTGATAAATGCATACTGAAGATTAAGTGAAAACACATTATGAGTTATATACTGTTTCTACAATGAAAATAACTTTTCATTTATTGTTTTCAACTCCTATCTTCCAATTCTAACTTCATAATGCCCATAAATATAAAACATAAATCAAATCCATTGTACCCAAGAACTTATTTACTTAGGGTGGGGGTATAGCTCAGTGCTAGAGTGTGAGCACCAAAAACAAAACAAACCAAAACCAAAATTCAACTATTCTATAAAATCTTCCTATATCCAACATGGCACAAAGGTCTACAATGAAAATGAATTTTAGAATTGAAGATTTTTCATATTTTAGAAATATAATATAGTCATAAAGTATTATTGAATCCCTGTCAATGGGCAACCCCCCCATCAAGTAAACAAACATAAATAGTCACACCAAGTAAAAAGGTTAAGACCATAGTTTCTCATAGTTCAAGTCAGGTTTTGCTACTAGATAAGTTCAGATTAAGTAGATTTGTCACAAAGTGAATTTTAGGAAAAAAAAAATAGGGATGTGAGAACTTTTAAGATTTCAGAACTGCAGAAAGACATCTAGGACTTTTAATACCAGGAGCACACAAATGAGGAAAGGAGAATTCTGTTTCAATATGACTAAATAAAACATGCTCTTCTTCCTAAATCTCCAGTTTAACAAAAAGCATAAAACATAAAAATTAAATCTTTTTTAGTGTGGCAAAGCCAGAAGAGGCAACACTGACAGGTTAGAACAATGAAGAATTTCTCAAAGACGTAAAGCAGGGCTGGGGATTTAGTGGTTCTAGCGCCTGCCTCACAAGTGCAAGGGTCCGAGTTCAATCCAAGATGTAAAACAGACAAGAACATACTACATACATATAAAAAACAACCAGGCTGAGAAACCCATATTCTTATCATGATTAAAGAAGACCTCTACCCAAAAGTATATTTTTTTCTATCAGAATTCCAAAATAACCCCACATAAGAACCAACAGGAGGTAGAAAAGAATCATACCATCATCACTTGGCTGAGAAGTTAATGAAATACAACCTGAACACATCTGCTTCTCAAAACAGGCTTCTTGTGCTTGCCCCATGATTATCAAAGCTCTCTAGGATGACAGTTTAATAAAAACTGTTTCAAAACAGACAACAAAAGAGACTGGAAACCTAAAGCCCACAGGCCAAGCTAACTGTATACACTAAAAGAAATATATTCTCGGAAACTGCAGGGAAACAGATTCTCACTCATGCTAAGGAAACACACTGTAACTATCAACACTATATTCATTCTAGACTCACCAGTATGATAACGAATCACAGAACATTTGATGAAAACAAGCACTACAAAAAAAAGCATCATAGAAATATGTACTCCCCTACCGCCTTCCAAAAATGAAATGTCATTTTTTTTTTTTTTTTTTTTTGTACCGGGATTGAACTCTGGTCCTTGTACTTGTGAGGCAGTGGCAGAACCACTGAGCTAAATCCCTGGCCCTGAAATGTCTTATAATCCTTGCATTTTATATACTAACAAATATGGTAGTTAAAGCCTCCTTGGGCTCAGTAGCAGTTTAATGATTCCGAGCACAGACTTTACATTCAGGTATTTTTGACTTAAATTCTACCTCCATCACTTTTAAACTGCTGACTGTGGAGAAGTCTCTGACCATTCTGAACTTTTGTTTCCTCAACTATAAAACTTCATAGAAAAAAAAAAAATCTAAAAAAATCATAGAATTTTGAGAGGACTAAAGGATAATAATGGAAAATAATGTCATATTTTAAGATCAAATCATAATATCTGGTACACATCAAACTATTATTTTGTTTTAAATTATGTTATGTTAATTACATTATGTCTTAATTATGTTAAATTAAGTTATTTGAGCCTCAAGATTTCTCATTCATATACTTTAATTTTTGTTTTTGTTGTTGTTTAATAGACTACTGGTACTAATTAAGAGGAAAAGATTTTAGAACTGGAGCAAAGTACACTGAAATAGCCGGCTCCATATATGTAAATGGTAAATGACAAGTAACTGCTATATCATTATACTAGGATATGTTCACAAAAATATAATAGCACTATATACTGGATAGATTGAAATATGAACCAGTTTATATTTATATTTCAGTATCACAGAGTAGAAGATCTATACATTTAAGCTAATAAAAACAATAACCAATGCAAAAGAAGGCAGGAAGGCCTGAATCGTACAAACCTAACGAGAGAGCTCCTCATTATCCATTGATTGGTTTCGCGAATACTGGCTTTTGCAGAGGGGAGGGTCTAAAGATTTTTTTAGATTGTGGGTTAAAGAATTTCTGCTCAAATATTAGATGTACTGCTAATAATGTGAAGAGGACATTCTAAGTTCTTATTAAAAACTTAGTTTTAGGGCTGAAGTGTAGCTTGGCAGAGTGCTTCCCAAGCACACAAGAGGCCCTGAGTTTGATCCCAAGCACTACATAATGAAACAAAACAATACTCCCTTAGCTTTATAAGGGTTAACTGTAATACACAATGGTGATTTTATCTCTTAAGGAGCAAGAAGCAGTAAAAAAAAAACCAGATTACAATTAAAAGCATGAAGCAAAAGCGTTTAGTCTTAAATACCTTACCTTAACTAATAAACCATACTTGTCAAACATCCAGATTTTCTTTTGCGCCTCTTCTTCTGAGAGGCCATTTTCTACCATAGACATAACTATAAGATTTGCAATTCCAAGGGCAGCCTGTCCAACAAAATACAAGAATGAAAAGTAAAGACTAGAGTACAATGAGATGTTTGAATTACTTTATTTATCAAGATTATCTCATGAGGGATATCTGGTTTATTTGTCCCTTACAAATAACACAATAATTGATTCTTTGTGATATTCTCTCTAAACATATTTTAAATTATTTATTTTATACCAAAAAATTCATACCCTCTACTTCAACAAAATTATAAGCTCATCATGCTCTTTTCTTGAGCATCAACGTTTTGTCCTACTTGATAATTCTAAGAGAGTGTTCGTTTTAAATTCTCAAATTTGTAAGAGCTTACCTCTCCTGCTCCAAGAAATAAGATTTTGTGGTCTGAGATTGGTTTATTAATAACTTTTTGGGCTGCAAGAAGACCTGATAGAGCTACTGCAGCTGTTCCTATAAGAAAAACAAAGATTTTTAAAAATAAAAAAGGCATATAATAAATGTTTAGTAGGAATTAAAAACCTAAAGTTTCCTTTTGCTTTACCTTGAATGTCATCATTGAAGGTACAATATTTTTCTCTATATTTTCTCAAGAACCTGAATGCATTATGATTTCCAAAGTCTTCAAATTGAATAAGTGTGTTCCGGCCATATCTAAAAACAGCAAAACCCATAATGGTTGTATTGAAAATACCACTATGAGACAGCTTTCCTGTCTAATATTCCTTTGGATAGCATTTAAAAATATAAAATGTATTATGTTAAAGGTCATCTAAAAATTTTCAGAGCCTTGAAAGACTAGGCCCAAAATGTAGAGATCTGATACTTAAAAAACAAAACAAAACAAAAAACAAAAACCATGAGGTGATTAAAAACAATGTGGCAGCATAATGGACCCATGAGATGTCAAACAGTATAAACTATTTCAAAGAGCCTATAAAGGTGTACAGCATATAAACACTAAGTAAAAATGAAGAGACTATGTCTCTGGGTCTCAGAAACTATATATTTGATATACATATCCTCCTTAACAGTTAAATAGCAATATGGGACTATATACTACATAAGGCCAAAGGAGGGAGAATCTTGAATGACAAACTGGAGAAAAAGGACTTTCCTCTACATCCCATGTACAATCACTGAAGGCTTCAGAGGACAGAAGAATTTAAGTAGGACTCCTGTTAGCAAGCATGAACTCACCAGTAATGTACTCCACAGTGTTGTGGAGAGAGGTAGGAAAAACAGGAGAGGTAGCATTATATTATATTATGATAATGAAAATGCCACAGGAGGCCAAAGGACAACGGTGAGACATTAGAACCAACAAACATAAATTGGTGATGAGGACCAACTGGGAAATGAGGGAGAAACTGTTATAATAACAAAGCAACCTGGGTGACGAAGAAGATCCTACTGTATTGTCAAAGGTAGGGAAATAAGAGAAAAGGAGGAGATGATAATGTCCAGGAAGAAGAAAAGTTCAGGTTTGGATTTGTCAACTTTGGCACTTGTTATGGTTTATATTTAGATATCACCCCAAAGTCTCATGTGCTTATAGGAGGGGCTTTTGGAGGGTGACTAGATCATGAGTTTGTGATACTGGATTAGTTCACTGATGGGTTTAAAGTTGGGGTAATATTAGGAGGTGAAGCCTTGTGGGTCACTGGTAGTGTAGCTTAGAGGCAATACATCCATCATGCTCCTTGATCCCTTGCTGCTTCCTGCCTGCCATTCCATGAACCCTTTCTCCTCTGCCATGCCGGCCCTACCTTGGAACCAGCTGACTACAGACTGAAACCTGTACAAACTGTGAGCCAAAATAAACCTTGTCTCCTTTAATTTGTGGGTGCCAGATATTTTGTTTCAGCAATGAGAAAGTAACTAAAACACCCCTGAAAAGGAATGAATTTTTTAGTATCTTACATATGCCAGTAATTTAAAAGGTAAGCCAGAGGTGAAACATAAAGACAGAGTTTGGGGTGTATCTTGTGGCAACCGAAAACCATTTAGAAATGTCAAACAAAAGAATGACATAATGAAGATTGATCTGGTGTCAAAATGGAGAAGAACTGAAGAGAAAATGGGCGCTTTAGCGAAATCCGAAGAGGGATAAGGAGAGAACAAGATTGTGGTAATGGAAGAGGCATAATCTCTCGGACTACATGGGTGGCTGACGAGGAAAAGTCAAAAGTAACACCAAGATCAAAGGTTTGGCAATAGGGTAACTGTTACTATCATTAATAGTGGTTGGGACTACAGAAGAAAGGCTGTTAGGTAAAGGAAGAAACTCTGTTTGAAACATGAATATGAAGCAGCAACAGAAGATCCCAATGGAAGATTCCAGCTGTTAGAAATGCAGAAGTACAGGGATCAGTTTACACAGGGTTAGGAGTTATGTGCCTAAAAGTCAGAGTTCACCATAAATGTGTGTCAGTTAAAAAGTACACTAAGAGTTATGGGTATAGCTCAGGGGTACACCACTTGGATAAGTGTGCATGAGTCCCTAGGTCTGAAACACACACACACACACACACACACACACACACACACACACACACACACACACACGAGCCACAGTTTGGAGGGCTCAAAGAGAAGAAGGCCATGTAGTCATCAACACTTAATGAAAGACAGCAAGAAGAACTTGTGAAAATGATGAGTCTTTTAGTAGTCAAGAGAAAATTTCAAGTACATAGGAGTTGGAAAACCTGGCCAGATATTGCAAAGAAGTGATGAAGGAGGAGCACAAAGCTGCAGAACAATTTTAATTAGTGGCACAGTAGTCAGCCTGGCAGTCAAGGATTGAAAGGAGGATTAGGATTAAGCGGTAAGGGTTGTGGTGAGGTGAATGTAGACTTCATTTCAGATGTCAGGTAACTCAAAACAGCAAAGCAGAGCAATGCTACCACCTTGCATCAGCATGTTACCAAAATTTAATCTGCTCCTGCTTATCTTTACAAAAAAAAATAAAACAGAACTATGGTCCCCCCACCAATAAAAGGTACTTTATGTACTTAAACTTTTTAATGATACCTGTCAGTAATTGCTTTCATAAACTCATCAATCAGATCATCATAAAGTTGTGTGCGGTCTCTTTTCTGATACAAGCCCATGTAAAATGGATCTTTTAAGAGTGCCTATAAAAAAGGTAAAATTTCTTATTACATTACTAGTTTAAACATATAAAACAAAAATGATAGTACTTCAAGAAACTTTTTTTTTTTTTTTTGGTACCAGGGCTCGAACTCAGGTCCTTGCACTTGTGAGGCAGGCAGCAGAACCACTGAGCTAAATCCCTGGCCCTTTACAAGAAACTTTTAATAGGCTTAGTTAACTATTACTTGTATAAATATTAAACATGCAGTTTAAGAAAAAGATCAACATTCAATTATAAGATTTTCCCTTCTTTCTTTATTTGTTGTGCTGAAGACTGAGGCCAGGGCTTTGGGCATTATAGACAAGGGTTCTACCACTGGGTTACATCACCAGCCGAAGATTTGCTCTTTTTTGTTTTTCTTTTGACTATAGGAGGAAGCTCACAAGGGAAAAATATTACTCACTTGATTGTCAGTTCCGACATCAATACAGACAGGCAGGCATCTATCAGGCCGTATTCCTGCACAAGCTGTATATAAACAAAGTTTTCCTACTGGGATTCCCATTCCGTAGACACCCAAATCTCCAAGACCCAGAATTCTCTCCCCATCAGTTACCACAACGGCCTTAATTACAAAAAACAAACACAAAAAACACACATTAAAAGTTGCCCCAAATTTGGCATTAGTGAAATACATTCAAAACAACACTGATTCTCTTCATATATTTTCACTTTTAGAAATAATTAAAATTGTTTCTCAGCTGACTTACAATGCAATTTAATGAAACATATATAATCTAGAATTTCAGCATATTACAGTACATTAAAAAGAGAATTACCTAGATTTCCCTCTGACTTAGGTTTGGAAACACAATGCTTTCTGTCTGACTGAAGGACCAATTTGATTGTTTTATTTTTTGCAGTATTGGGGATTGAACTCAGGTATACTGAGCTCTAACTCAAGCTTTTTTGAAACAGGGTCTTGCACAGGCTGGCCTTGAGCTTGTGATTCTGTCTTAGCGTCCCAAGTAGCTAGGATGAAAGGCATGCACCTTTGCAAAAGACTACAGAAAAAGTGAACAAAATTCTGATGAAGAGATTACCTTAAGAAAAAAAAAGTTTAGAAATAAACAATATGCTACTTCAACAGAATAAAGTAGGCCAAACAAGAAAACTCTTAGCAATAGTAAAAGGAAAAAGATTTGTTTTACCATTTACAAATTGCATATGTACATATAAGTTTTCAAGATGACACTGGTTAGTTATCATACCATTTTTTTTCCTAGAGTATCTGAACTAATGAATCCATCAGTTTATTTTGATAAGAAAGATACAGGTAATAAAGTCAAATAAGACTACTGCCTAAAATAAATATGAAATCCTACCAAAAGACTTGAAATAACTTACTACATTCTATGTATGAAAGATAGTCACACTGACAAACATTTATACTATACTATATTTGCTAAAGTTAAAACTGTTTTTGAGAGTTTTATACTTGCTAAGGATCTAGATATATTTTAGTGTGAAAGAAAGGCATAACCATTCCTCTCCAATACCCTCCAAAATAAGTCTCTATAACATTTTAATGTATTTTCCCACCTAGAATGTCATTAGTGAAACAAAAAAGGAAGACAGGACCCTGGAGCGGCAGTGGCAGTGAGAGGGCTCACTTACCTTATGTACCAACTCCATTTTCTTTCTCAGAGTCAAGTCTGTGTTATGCTATAACCCATTTACAACTATTACAATTACCATCTCCTCAGACACAAAGCAGTACATTTGCATGTACAGGAGTGTAAAATAAATCAGAGCAACAATGAAAAACTGTTCTTGGCAATTCAGAGGTAACTTACAAGGAAACAGAAAACATTGTGAAAAGGAGGGTTGTGCTATTAAGTACCTTAACATGATTTTCTGGCCAGTTATCCACAATTGATCTAACATGACCTCTGTCTGAGATTGAAATAAATAATCCCCTGCAACAGAACAAAAACACCTTTGCATTTCATGACAGTTTTTTGTTTCTAATCTTTTCTCCATAATTGGAATGCTTAGGTATTTTAATCAAATATCTAGACATGGTATAATTCCCAAGCAAATTTAGTTAAGTCACACTGGTTTATTTTCAACTATTTCAGACCACAATTACATTGTTCACATTGCAGTGGTAACAAAGATTTAAGTGATGTGATGATTTTACTCAAGAAGAAGTGTATCCACATCAAATAAACAATATATTTCCAGTAAAAATAAATTGTAAAGATAAACCACCAATATAAGAAAACATAGCAAGCCAAGTTAACCACTGTTAAAACTCACTGAAACTCAAAATTGAAGAAGCAAGAAGGGAAGAAAATTACAGTAAATTCACATGAAGGATTAAAATCAAGTAAAAAGTTGACAAAAAGTACATATCATGTACAATATGCTGTTCTGAAATATGTATGCACTGTGGAACGGCTAATGAAAAGTTAAGCATAGTATACTGTTGTCTAATTGAAATAATCCAGATTTTAAAATGGATTGAGATGGCAAAGGGAGAAGGAAGGCAAGGAGATAAACAGAGAAAAAAGAAACATACATTCCAAAAACAGGTCAAGCAGAGGTGGTTCTTACTGCCTTCAAACTTATTTCTACATTTAACTTTTTCACTGATATCTTAACTTTGGTATTCCTACAGTAGCTCCAATCAGGGTAGTCTAGCAATTTTTCAACCATGTCTACATAATTATCTGATGAGCTTTAAAGCATGCTAGGCCCCACAGATTCTGATTTAATTGGCTGAGAGTTGAGATTAATCAACCAAACAAGATTTACTGACCATCTCTGACATTCAAAACAGAACAACAACAATAAAAAACCTCCTATGTAGTCTTCTGTGCAGGGCACTCTTTGCCCTCACTCAAAGCCATGTTCTATTTCTCATGTCAGTCATCTCAGGGTGGATGTGAGCAGGACACCAGGAGCTTTTATGAAACACTCACACCTGAACCCAAACAGAGAGCACTGGAATCAGAATCCCGATGGTAGGCCTCAGGCAGCAGTGTGCTTGTTTCCCTCTGTTCTTTAATCTGGGTTGAGAAACACTATTCTAACAAACTACCAAAGCAGTGAACAGATGGATTATAACATAGAAAGGTTTTAGATATATTAATTGAAGGCAGGATATGGATTAGACTAGAGAGCATTACTCAGTGTCTTCCAGGGAATACCTACAACACAATCACTCAAATCCAGACCCCCCAAACCCTCTTTTATCAAATGAGATGAAAGCTGGCAGGGTCCCCACTTTTAGTAAGTCCAACAAGTGCTTCTCATGCCCATTAAAGTTTCAGAGCCACCAGAATACATGAAGAAACACTGAAGATAAATGCTATCACATCTTAACAGTGTACATTTGTATCAGTAAGTTAAATGGACATGGAGAAAATAACAGAGATTGAGAAAATTAAGAGGTTAAAAAAACAAGACATACTTTAAGTAAAAATAGCATGTTTATAATGCTTATAAGTTTACAAAGAACCACCATCACATTAGTTTCTTCTCAATTGCTTTTAACAGGTACATTTACTCCTACTGGACACATGAACACATTCAGAGAATTATGTGGCTCATTAAGGACTTATATAATGGCCCATTTCAGTACTCTTTCCATTTAAAATATTTGGAAATGCTAGAACCACATGATATTGAAATTCATGAAAGCTGATTTAAAAAGGAGAACAAATAATAGAAATTAAAACTGACAAATGAGAAAGAATCAATCCCTTAAACAGGCAGATTCCCAAAAACATTAATGCTAATTACAGAGAATCTGCCACCAGAATTAAGACCATTTTGGGGGAAGATACAAAAAGCACACAATTTTTCTAACATTCAAAAAAATTAAAGAAAGAAATGAATTATGCAATTCCTACAAAAATAAAAGATATAAAACCCATGCTGGGTTTTTAATTAATTTCTCTTAATCCAAATTAAGCTTTTGTGAGATGGCTGCAGTAAGACTGTAACACAGAAATTTAATAGGTGTTATGGAATGGTTTTTTTAAACACAATAATCATTTGCTTATATATTTTTAAAAATTGGCCTTACTTAGGTCTTCTAAAGATGTGTCCATATTGGGAACAAGCAAGACCAACTGTTGGTGTGTATACAATTGGCATTAGACTTTCAAAATCATCTTGTAGTATTCTATAAAACAGTTTTTCATTTCTTTCTTGTATTCCCATGATATAGATGTATCTGAAATAAAGCACAGTAAATAATGTTTTGTTTTTGCAGTACTAGAGATTAAATTCAGTGCCTTGCATTGAACTGTATCCTTAACCCCTTATTTATTTATTAGAGACAGGATCTTGCTACGTTGCCCAAACTAGATTTGAACTTGTGATCCTCCTGCCTCAGCCTCCCAGAATGCTGGGACTATAGGGTGTGTGCCACCATGCCTCCTCTAGACACAGTAAATAATGTCCAAGTCAATCACTCTGAATCATATTACTTTTGGTTTTTGAAATTTTTTTTGATTAGTGAATTTTTGCAATATGGAATATTTCCCCTTCTTTCCTTTTTTGGGTGTGTGTGTGTGTGTGTGTGTGTGTGTGAGAGAGAGAGAGAGAGAGAGATGAGAGAGAGAGAGAGAGAGAGAGAGAGAGAGAGAGAGAGAGAGAGATTGAACCAGGACTTTACCTACAGGAGGCAAGCACTCAGCTATACTCCAAACTCTTGGCTTTTTAAAGTTAAACCTAACTATCTAAGGGCCTTCCTCACCTCCATCTCTACCCCCTACCCCACAAACCATAAATCTTAAATTATCACCAAGTTTAACACCCAGAACTAGAAAGAAGCAAAAATATAAATATATAGTACTTAAATGATAATGATGAAGAAAATAACAAGAGAAGCAATAGCTAATGTTTACTGATCCCTTACTGTGAGTGTCAGGCTCTGCATAAAGCACTGAAAATCGACATGTAGCCCTTTCTTTTAGATAAGAACTGATCTTCAAGGAGACTGACACGTAAATAAAGCAAAATGAATTGGCATTCGTTCATGTGTTTACTAAGCACCAACAGTGCCAGGCACATTCTGAATTCCAGGATCCTAAGTCACTCCTCCCCAAGGTTTTAAATATACAGTTCAGAGGCAGCACAAAAGAGGCAATGGTCACTCTGTATGTATGTATGTATGTATGTAT